AAACTGAAAAGAATGAAAAGTCATCTCCGGTATCTAGCACGACCGCAGTTAAATACCAAGAAAAAGAAAATATGACGAATCATATTTGGGATTTCGTTTTACTTCTAATTATGAACGAATTGAAAAGTCGTTATTCTTAATTTGCAAAGACATCTTGGCTACAGAAAGCCGTCAAATTAAAGCGACAGGTCTATACAAAGCATACTGCTCACTGCAAAGAATGCTTTGAAAGGCTTTTGAAATCATCAAATTAGCAAACATCTTGCTTTGAGTTTGTTTTGGCCCACCAGCGGCTCAGCGGTAAAGTCGTTGAACACTGGTAGTTCGGTTCGAGGTTCGAATCCCGCGAACGGGCTGGATGCATGGGCGTTTTCGTGGTTTTCCCCAAGTGTAACGTGTATACGAGCCAGTTTCCCTTAGAAAGCCCTCCACGAAGACTGCCTAAGGGGACCTCCCCTTAGGCAGATAGCCCTCGAAGCTTTGCCATAATCACACACACACACACACACACACACCACACTGAGTTTGTTTTGTTTATGTGATTATTGCAAATCCTCGAGGGCTACATGCGTAAGGGGGATAGCCTTTAGACAATTAGACCTTCAGCCTTTACAACTGCCTCGTATACATGTTACACATGGGGAAATCACGAAAACGCCCATGCAGCCAGATGGTTCGTCCGCTAAATATCTCGGAGTGATGATTGATGAACGACTTGGCTTTAAAGACCATGTAATTAACCAAGTTACCAAAGCAAATAGAGCTTACATGTCTCTGTATAATCTCATAGGAGGGAAATCTAAACTTAGCTTAAAAATTAAACGTACTCTGTATTTAGCACTTATTAGACCAATTTTGCTTTATGTAGCCCCGGCATGGGACACGGCGTTAAAGACTGAACGAAGGAGAAGTTATCCTCCCGCAAAATAAAATACTAAGAGCGATGGTAAATGCGCCTTGGTATGTTAGAAATACGATTTATGAAGATTTAAGAATTAAACCAATACCGAGCAGATCCTAATGGATGCTCACAACTTTTTTGAGAAAATGGAGAATTCGCCAGTCAATACTTTGAGAGAACTTACGAACTATGATCCCACTGTGGAAAGCGTCGTGAAAAGACCCAGGTCATTTCACCAGAATGTAAAGTGGTAGCTGTAAATATGTATATAGTTTTATCCAACTTATCTCATTTTATTCAAGTATTTAATCAAGCATTTATCCTAGTATTTATCCAAGATTTATTTCCCGTGTTTGTGAATTTGTGTTTACTACTAAGAATATGGACTTAGTGTCTGGACAGGCAAACACTTTTAGTGTTATTTGTACAAAGTGTGAATAATTGAACTCACCACGCCTACCACTGTGGATCCAACCGTATTGGCTAGTACCGGTCACGTGATACTCATACCCTGATTTCTCAAGAATTAGATATTATTATCTCGAATCTTTCACAAAGCAGTTTTATGTTCTTCAGTCAGGACTCAGATGATTTTCATGATTTAAAAAGTGAAATTTTTGCTATTATGTTAATGTACGCCACCTTGACTTGCCACCTTAAAGCTCTGATTGCCTGATGTCCTAGACTCTTATTTTCGCCTTCGGGTGAGTGGCGTGATAGCGCCCTAAATTTTTTCTACAACCGTGAATGGCCGTACGACAAGTTAGAATGATCAGGTTTAAACTCTAAGAAGTTGATGCCTGTAGTGAACGTAAAGCATAAGCAGATGGCCCTTGAGGCTTTGCAACTGGCTTGTATACATGCTACACATGGGGAAACCACGAAAAATGCCCATGCAGCGATCCCGTTCGCGGGATTTGAACCTTGGACCGAACTACCAGCGTTCAGCGACTTAACCGCTCGCCCGCTAGTGGGCCAGTTTGGCTTTGAGAACCTTGTTACTGTGAAGGAAAAGTATTTACTTGCGTCTTATGAAACATCTATTTAATTGCAAAGAAATATAAAAGCCTATTCAGTTGTAGAAAATATAATATTGCCGGCTGCTATTAAGATGGCCGAAATAGTTCATTTCAAAAAGTGCGCGAATGAACTCGATAAAATTTTATTATCTATTGATACTGTTTCAAAACGATTTTCGGAAATTAATGAAGATCAATATCAGCAGCTAAATAACTAGGCACAAAATGAGCCCAAAGTTTGCTATTCAGTGCGATGAATCAACTGTTACCAACAATTATTAGTGTATGTTAAATGGCAACACAATTTTGGCTAAAGCGATGGTCGGTGAAAAAAATTGAATTTCTAGCCAAAGTTTAGGAAAGTGGCAACTAGCCATTACATCGAGATAACTGTAGTGGCTAAAAAAATAGCAGCGGAGTTAGATATTATGCTTCAAGATAGTGTTAAAGAGGTAAACATTAGTAAAATTCGCGCTCTGACCAGTCGTTTGTTTTCTTATCTTTGTAAAGACGTGAGTTCTGAATTCAAAAGCATATTATTACAAGCAGAGTTAAGGTGGCTTTCGAGAAGCCGCAGTTTAAAATATAAAAGTTATTTAAGTTTATTAAAATTAAAAGATGAAGTTCATTTCTTCGAATAAAAATCTGATTTTGCGAATTAATTCCATAATAAGTTGTGGCTACATAAACTGTGTTATTTGAATGACATGTCTGGAGAACTAAATTTATCGCTTCAAGGTAAAAGTTCCAGCATATTCATATTGAAATAAAAATCTGATGTGTACACCACATGACTTCCTTGCACGGAATATTAAATTATACGTATTTTTTCTTGCATTTCATTTACACTTATTGGATTGAATTAAATTTATTTCGTCTATAGCGCATAAACCACAATAGAATAAAAATGCACTCTTTAAAATTCACTATATTTGTTTACCATAGCGATACTCTGGCCCTAGGTTCGCTTAAACAGCGTTAAATTTCATTCTTTTTTTAACTCAGAATGCACAAAATTTATATCATCTTAAGAATTATCTAATCGTTGCAACATATTCTATTCACATATTATAATAAATCTACAACGATGTATAAAAGAAATTAAGCAAACAACAACCTTTTGTACTCTTTTTGTATTAACAACCCCTTGGCATCGCAGCCGAAGTACTGTCTGGGCAGCTGGTTGGAACTCGAAAATTATTTTTTTTTCAAACTTTAAAATGGGCATTTTTGCTATGCATGCCACATTCAGAATGGGCTTTTTTCACGTTAGGTGAAAGTGGTTTAAGTCGCATAATTTTGACAATTTTTTGTCAAAGCCAGTTTGCCTGTGATGGGTCATTTCCGCTTCTAAAAGATGCTTTAGCGTGGTAAGGAGCAAGTTGCTACCTGGAACTTTTTCCCCCAAAATCCTGTTGAAGTTTAAATTTCCTATGTGTTAAATGAAATGTATTTGTATGATCAAAATTGTGACAGCCTTATTTGATTCATTCAGTGAAGTGTAACTATGCGTTTATAATTTACAATTTATTTTTACTTCCTTGTACGAAGTAAAAAGGAAGTATTGTAATCGCGAAAAGTTTCAGGCAGCATATTTCAACGAAAATATCCATTTTGACCGCTTTCGAATGCAATTTAACGATCTTTTTGCGTGATATCTGTACGTAAGGACAGAATAAAAGACTCTTTTCCTCCAAAAAAATTATAAAACTGCTTTAAAATGAATTCTGAAGAGAATTTTTCGTGGCGTCTGTACGAACGTACGTACGTACCTCAGAACATTGAAATTTCGTATATAGGACTACTATAACATGTAGATGTGCACGTCGTATTTTGGTTGCAATCGGCAGCACCAAACGCATATATTTATATATGTATCTACTCTATTACTCGGCTCAGTAATCTGAGTTTTTTTACTCTTATATGTTTGTAAATTGTACATTGTTTTGCTTTAAAATTGATTGAATTATGTTGTTCTTATCATCCGTTTAAGATTTTTATGCCCTTTAGTAAATCTGTATGCAATATTTTGAGAATTATCAACAATTTTAAAGTTGCTTAAGTGACGCTAAGCCTAATAATTTTTTTGATGGCGGCCATTGCTTGTTTACATTTGAAACAGCAGGATAGTGGATTTGTTGCCAATCTAGAGAAACGTAGCTCCGCAACAACAAAGTTGACGCCTTCATTTATTATTGCGAATTAAATCATGCTTAATCCTTTCTGGAATTTTTTCGAGGAAATAAGTTTTTAAAATTTACTTCGTAATTTTTAATACAGATGTTTCGAGTTTTTATGTATTTTTGCCTTGTTGCGAAGTGAGAACTGAATTTATTGAATGAGAAATACACACTCGTCTGTGAAAAACTGTTTCTTTTTAGTTTTGTTTGCTTAACTTCATTTATACATCGTTCTAGCTGTATTATAGTATTTGAATAGAACATGTGGCAACAATTAGATAATTATTCAAATGATATAAATTTTATGCACTCTGAGTTATAACATGAACGAAATATAATACTGTTAAGTGAACCTAGCGCCAGAGTGTCGCTATGGTAAACAAATAGAGTGAAGTTTAAAGAATGCACTTATTCTATTGTGTTTTATGCGCTGACGGCGAAGTAAATTTAATTCAATCCAATAAGTTTAAACAAAATGCGAGAGAAAAAATGCGTATAATTTAACATTCCGTACAAGAAAGTCATGTGGTGTACACGTCAGATTTTTTAATAATAATATTTAGTCTATTTGAAGTTGTCAATTGCTTATTTTATGCTGCGAAAGACATATAAGTATTAACATTTCATATTTATTTACTCAGTTTAGGCATGCCAGTCATTAACATTTCATATTTATTTACTCAGTTTAGGCATGCCAGTCATTAACATTTCATATTTATTTACTCAGTTTAGGTATGCCAGTCATTAACATTTCATACTTATTTACTCAGTTTAGGTATGCCAGTCATTAACATTTCATATTTATTTACTCAGTTTAGGTATGCCAGTCATTAACATTTCATATTTATTTACTCAGTTTAGGTGTGCCTAGTCATTAACATTTCATATTTATTTACTCAGTTTAGGTATGCCAGTCTCGGGGATAAAATTTTGACCATATTCGCTACATGTGTTGCAATGCTTTCTGGAGTTTGTTCACCTGTACAAATGGTAATTTTTGGAAAAGTCATCGACATATTGGTGAATTACGATGCAGGAAGAAAAAATACATCTAACGTCACTATGTAAGTTACTTGTTGTTTTTATACTGTGTTATATTTTAATAATTATACTGCAACCTAGAACAGAGGCCCACCTCCGGCCGAGCGGTGAAAGCCGCTGAACATTGGTAGTTCGAGTCACGGCGAACGGGCTGGCTGCATGGGCGTGTTTTCGTGGTTTTCCCGATGTGTAACTTGGATACAAGCCAGTTTACCTTAAAAAGGCCTCCACGGGCATCCCTCCCTTTCCGTGCAGTGCCTAAAAGCAGAGCACATAATAAAATAAAAAAAAAAAAAAAAACCAGCTGGTGAATCTTTACATTATCGTAACTTGGCGATTTTTTGGCGAACATTTGGTGACCAACCCTGCTACAGCAACCTGCTAGTTTTGTTTTGGACGCCATTTTGTTTTCACGAAGTAAAGGCATGGGTTTTTTTTGTTTTAACTCATCATTTTTTCCAACAATCTGCTAGCCGAATTACGCTTATATTAGCACTTTTATGGAACAAAAATGCTTAATCGTGACGAAGATTAGGTGTGAAATTGGGAAAAAGTGCAGAATCGCAAACTGCTTGCCGCGTTTTTAAGAATTGCACATACACGGTATCCATGTACACGTCGTTCTATTTTCACTTAAAAAACAATATCCCAGAATTGCACAAAAATGGGATTGCGCACACGCTTGACTTTATCCATGTACACATCGACCTATTTTCACTTAAAAAGTCAAAGAAAATTGACAAAAATCCAATTCTTCTTACTTTTATAAAAAGCGCCAAACAAACAAATAAATGGGCGATTCTGCAATTTAGCAGCGAAATTGTTTCCAAGTGCTTATTAGCTAAAATCACGATCGGAATTTTTCTGAAAATGTCACATGGCATGTCTCGTGATCTCTCATTTCTCTGAGACAAAATAATCTGTGATTCGAACTGTGTACTTCTCAGATTATTGCTAATTATTGCTAAAGTCCTAACCTAGTAACCTTTATCGCCTTACCAAAATGTCGTCAAAATACCTGTTACCATATTCCAAAGAGAAGCCCAAATATTATTAAACTCATTGGATTTGAGTTTCAATACTTTGCGTACAATTTAAATGCACAAGTACGCTTGTTTAAAAAAAAAAAAAAAAAAAAAAAAAACCTCAATTTTTGATAAAGGAAAGTTTCGCAGTGCAAGTTTTATGAAACTTCTTAGTTTGCATCTGAAGGAACTGACTGCAAGTCTCCGCCCAGTAAGACACGGAAATTAAAATCATACAACAACGGCCACGTTAATTATGTAAAGGGGCGTGGCAACTGGTGAAGTGATCTTGAATTCAAACTAGTTCCCTCTTTCAAAGCCGCTCACCTCCGTATCATGTCCTTCATTCATTCAAGGTCATAATGCCGCAAGTTTTCATACGGTACTTCACTGCATGCTGCAATTACGCAGTTGCTCTGATAAATAATGTTAAATCAATATGAAGGACACTTTATTACCAATTTCGATTGAAAGTTGCGTTACGTAAGATTCCAATTTCTCCTGTATCAGAGCTTATAAAACTGTGTTCGAGGAAATTAATATTCATCGGAAATATCTTTGCGTATTTACCTCTATATATTTTAAAGAATTTTACCTCTATGTATTTTAAAGAACGTGTGCAGAAGGCAATTTACTGAAATAGAAAAATTCTTCGTTGTTTTCGTATTTTATTGTGATGAAAGCTAAAAAAAAAAAAAAAAAAAAAAAAAAAAAGGTTGGTTCTTGAAAATGACGTTTGTCAATTTTATTAATGAAGTCAAATGACTTTATTTCCATAAGTGAGAAAGAAGTAAAAAGTCTAATTCTAGTGAAATTATTCAAGTGCCAAAGGGCATCTTATTATAACGTATAATTTTTATTTAAACCGGAATAAAATCAGTTGTGTGAAATTAAAATGTAGGTTTGTTAATAGAAACACTTAGAGCTGATATTTTAAGCCTTTTTGTTAGAAGATTTCTGTGTTTTATACCTTAAATATCCGATATTGAAGGTTAATTGCATTATAAAGTATTGCTCCCTCCTTCGTAATGCGTTGATCTGCACGCTGGATGCGTATTCCAGAGGTCCGTGGTTCGATTCCCGGTGAAGGCGTCGCTTATTTTTCAATCTCTCTTGCATCCAGTTAACCTAGTCCACCAGCGGCCAAGCGGTAAAGTCGCTGAACACTGGTAGTTCGGTCCGAGGTTCGAATCCCGCGAACGGGCTGGCTGTATGAATGTTTTCCCCATGTGTAACGTGTATACGAGCCAGTTTCCCTTAGAAAGTCCTCCATGAAGGCATTCCTCCCTATAGGCAGATAGCCCTCGAGTGCTTTGCCATAATTAAATAATCCAATCCAATCCAAATAGCGTAATGTCTCTACCGTGGCGCTCGAACTAAAAGAGTGGTGGATAATTATTCTCCACATCTAGGATTTGGCGATTGAGTCCCCTAAAACCCCAGTCGTCCTTTAAAAGGGGGAGTATGTAAGGTATTTCTCCCGCCTTCTTAGCATGCATTCGTAATGTGGTGGTCTGTACGCTGGGGGCATATTCCATAGGCCCGTGGTTCGATTCCTGTTGCTGAGTTGTAATCTTTCCTGCTTTAAAAAAATCCAAATGTCATAAAAGCTATATATTAAATATGGAATTAAATCATGCAACAATGTTTTAAACTATGCGTGCAAGGTGGAAACTTGACAGTAAATTTTGTCACAAAACGGATTAAATTATAAAAATATTTGTAGCAACACAAACTTTCTGATTACTATTTCAGAAAGCAGCTATGTCACGTAGTCAGCTGTAAAAAGTTGGAAGTAATTTCTTTTAAAATAAATAAGTTATCAACAGTCTTTCAGCAGTCGCATATTCGAAGGTTGTATGCGTTTTAAGATGTACGAGTTCACTTAACATATATTTCACAAAAACCTTTATAATTACTTTACTTAAAGGCATACAAAGCATTTACTCTTTCTTTTCCGCATGTCTTCGTGTTGCAATTGGAAGCATACTCGACGGGTATTCAAGAAGTCCAAGATTCGATTCCCCGAAGATCATGGTCCCCGCAGATTACATATATTATCCAGAAGTTTCGAGTTCGTAAAGCCAAACTATACCTCTTAATTGCTCGAAACGGTATATTATCTATTGATAACACGTTACTCTGGCCCACCGGAACATGAACTGGACGGTCATACAGGACGAAGTAATTTCAGACCACAAATTAATATCATATGCATTTGTCGCACAGACTGTAGCAATAACAACAAAGCGCTTCAAAACCACAAATAACAGGATCAAAAGATTTGTAAATTCAATCTCCACAGAAGTTCCTTTAATAATAAATGAACTCAAAAATTCCACTAATGAAGTTCAGTTAGATGACTTAACTACGAAACTGACCAAATCAATTCAAGCTTACTGTGAAAAATCCTTTGACATTAAAATTCCTAGTGATATCAAGAAAGTTAACTGGTGGACAACCTCACTTCACTCTGAACGCAATAAAACCAGAGCTTTAACTCTTTCGCATCGAGAGACGACCAAATCTGTTTTCAACAAACATCGAAAACGCCCGTGTTTACGAATTTGTCTTGGAATAGTTTTCCTTTCCCCCTTGCTGCTCTTGGAGGTTTTTCTGCGGTTTCTTCCATTGTGTGCAGTTTCACCTTAGGGCCGGATTGCACCTGCGAACGTCAATAGCTTTCCGTATTTCTCCTTTATTTGCTTCAAAAGAATGATTAACATGTTTTTTAACAACTCGCGAAACCAATGAGCCATACACTAACGTGGAGGGGAAAAAACTAGGTAGAAAATAAACGAGGCGTTGGGTCGGTTTGCCGTTGCCTGAATGAACGGGCGTTACGGGTGACTTCGATGCGAAAGAGTTAAAGAGAAGAATGAAACAAGCAAAAACAGAAGCAGATAGAACTGTAGCGTACATAATTTTCGCCAAACAGAGAGCTTATCAGGTTCAATGTTTCTTCTAACCTTCTTCGGAAACATACAATGACCTGACTAGAACAGAGAGCTTACTAAAGCTATGTTCACTAATTGTAGTAAGTAGACAGGATACAGACGAAGGGTATACAAAACCCTTTATTTTTTTTTCTTTATATACAATGACTTCCGTACTTCGGAATACAATGACCCTCCACTCGGGGTCTAACTTAAAAGATATCAAAATAAAACTAAACTCTAATTTAACTTTAGAATAAGATTGGCCTTATAATAACAGGAAGCGTATGTAGCACAGAGACTGTGAACACTACAATACGTTTAATTTATCAAGAGGATTAAAACCTCTGGCCTGGAAGGCAAAGTAGCAACTGCGTAACTTCTAAGGTAAGCGGCCTGCTTCGAACTCACGGCTTCCTCTCTTTCTGCTTGGCAAAAAGGCCACACTTAAATACTTGGCGTTCGCCAGACAACTTTGCATAAACTCCTTCACGCTTATAATTCTGGCCGGAAGTAGAAAATAAGAAGTGATAGTAAAGATTTAAAATAAAATAAACGTTAGTAAAACTTAAGATCCTTACATACTTCCCGCCAGAGTTAATTAGTTTGAAACTGAGGTCTAAAACGACCTTGTTGAAAACTTTTAGCTCTAGAAACTAACGCGAGGCCAACCTTTTACAATCATAACTTAGCTAGAAACTAGAAAATTTAAAAGAAAGAAATTTGTTACAATAGCAGCTCCCGGAATATACAACAATCTTTTTTCTTTTTCATCTGTACTGCATCTAAAACAGGAGCTTTATTCAATTCTGGTTCCTTCCAGAGATCTGGAAGGAAAACTAGTTTAATGAAATGTTACAGAATGACATTGCAAATAACATATAGAATATACTTTTCTTAACATTCTTATTTCATTCATGACTATTTTAATTATCTCTCCCCGTGCTCTCTGACATGTGTTGTAAAAAACACCAAACACGAATGTGTTTCTGTCTATGTGTTCAACACTTCCTCCTACAATCAAAACACTAACGTGTTAAAATTCAACATACGAGACCTCTTAACACACCCTAATTTCAACT